ATCTGTTGTATAGCAATACCCCAGAAATTTAAACATTTCCATCCTGGCAGAAGGCTAGGTAAGACTCAGGGAGTTACAATTTAAAATATTCCATCCTAGAGGGAGGCTCATTAAGTCACAGAAAATAAACACCTCACAAATTTTAGGAAGTGCTGAAAACTTACAAGATTCATAAAGTCCCTCCTTCCCCAAGGTTATTTAAGCAGTGAAGCTCACTCAAGAGAAGAGAGTCTCCATCCTGTTGATCTGCCTCCAAGTTATGCAAAAAGCAGCAGGGTTGAGTTTTTCACAAGTTATCATTCATACTTTTCTGTAATGCAGCTGCCTTTGAGTCATCCATGTTTCACTAAGTAACCCTTCACCCATACTCCTGTAAATAATCAAATAAACTCACTGACTTGTCAAGTTAGGCTTTGGTAGAATTACTTCTTTGGTCTGCCATACATGTTCTATCTGAGGTGAGCAGATGTTTTTTTCACAGCTCTGCAGTAAAAGTCACACAAGGAAAAAAGCTACAGACTGAAATCCCACTAAGACCATTCTCTCCTTTCCATGCTAACAGTTCAGGGGTGGGAAGGTTTTAGAAGAGAAAGAGAAGTAAAAGCATGAGCAAATGAATGTGTAAAGGATGCTCAGACTTCCACTAAAGTACAGGTCCTTCCACTGAAAGAATTTTAGTGACATCAAGATTATGAATTTGGTGGTCCTGAAAGATAAGTGATATAGACAGGTTTAATCTCTGGATTTGTTTTCTTCTTGTGATACACACACACACACACACACACACACACACACACACACACACACACACACACACACGAGTCACTCACTAGGTATGAGACTCTGCTGGAAACATACACTCCAAATGCTACATGTCAAGTGAAAAGCTCCTTTCTAAATCATGAATTCCCCCATTGAACTCCCTATTGGGATGTTGTCTAAGGTTTATGTTAAAAGGCTTAAAATGCAGGCTCCTTTATCCTGCCCCTCTCCCTCCCTCCCTCCCTCCTTCGTCTGTGTGTGTGTGTGTGTGTGTGTGTGTGTGTGTGTGTGTGTGTGTGTGTGTGTGTCTGTCTGTCTGTCTGTCTGTCTGTGTCTGTGTGTGTCTGTATGTGTCTGTGTGTGTCTGTGTTAGTGGTGCTGGTAAATGTACTTGCGTGGGTTGAGTACACATATGTAGAGGGCAGAGGTGGACTGTATCATTCCTCAGTTTATTTCCTTGAGACAGTATCCATCCCTGAAATTCAGGCTAAGCTCATGGCCAGCAAGCTCTACTGATTCTCCTGTCTTTGTCCTCCACAGTGCTGAGGATACGGGCATAAGTAGCAGTGCCCAGCCTTCAGATCCTGGGGACTCAAAATCAGGTCCTCATCTTGCCCAGCAAGTTTTCTTAACAATTAATCCATCTCCCCAGTTCCTATTTGGACATTTTCAGCAAACTATTCACTTTAATATCAGAACTGAAATGTCCATGTCTTTACTGTATTTCTTTCTGTTTTGACAGCCTCTTAATTCTTTCCCCAGAAAAGGTATGGCCAACAAGGCAATTCCATTGTAGTCCTGTTAGATAGTGCAATTGTGGAACAGCATCTAGAAATAGAATCTATCTCTTCATCTTAACAGTAAGAGTAGAGAAGGCACAAAATTCTTAGAAGTTAAGATTAGACAAGAATTTAATAGCATCTGACACAATTCATTCTGTCACAGATGAAGGCACAGAGGCACAAATCAATGAAAGGTTTTGCTTAACACTTCATACTTAATCCTGGACAAAGCCAAAACTAGACATCAACATTCTTCATTATATAGCCACTTCATACTATTTTCATTAATTTTGGTTTAATTTTTCCCACATTTTATCTTATCTTGAGCTTACTTTTCAACCCATACATAATGTGATATGGGTATTTCTTCTTAGAAAACCCAAGATTATACTACTGGCCTTGCCTAGATAGTTGAACTGGGAATAAATCCTTCCACATAATGAATTTCGTCACTTACTTATTGTAAAAACATTCATGCCTTCTCTTATTCTCTCAGGCTAAAAAGTCAAATTATACTGCAGTCCATTTGGTTTGATGCTTAGTTATAATCCCAGGTCACTTCTGGGCCTTAGAGTTCTGGTGTAGCCAGGAAATTGCCAGAGGCCATATGGACTCCCCAGGCTATCTCCTGAATGAGGTTGGATGGTGCACACTTAGGAACTGAATCTCTCCAAGAGATGGAACAGATGGCACTTCAGATATGAATATGCATGATGTAGCTTCTAAGGTTGTTAAATAAGTATGTATTTTAGGTGAATTCATGAAAATCAAGATTTTCATAAGTGAAATGAAAACCAAGCCAAGGAAAACACAAGGATCTCCTTGAAGCTGTGCATTATTCTTTGTTGACATTGGCCTCTACAGCATGTTCCAACCTCCAGAGAAACCACTAGGAAGTAATGGGAAGAAATAAGTGAGATTTGCAACAAAGGATGTGTTGTAGGGTCTTGGAGAGGCCATGAGACAGAATGAGTATCTAGAAAAACAAGACTGGAAATGGGATTGCTTGAACTCACCCCTTTGTGCACACAGTACTTGTTCATAGTGAATACCTCCTTGGATATATTTCAGCTCTTTCTTGGCCCTTTACCAATAATTTACTCTGATGATCTGATCACCAACTCCAGGTTCTTCATATTTCACTCTTGGCTGCTCCAAAAGGAGACTGACAAGTCATCAGAGTAAGGTAAGTCCTTGAATTGGTAGAATTAATTAAGCAGATGGATTTCACAAATCTCCAATACAAACAGTACCTATCACAGGCCCTGAGCTCTCTGCCAAGTAACTCTACCTTACATGTTCAGTGATGGCCAGTGTGATGAAAACTTTCATACTCAAAATCATATTTGATTTTAAACTTATTGAAACCCTGTAAATTTTTAAACCGTTTATAGATGAGAAAAAAAAATGAAGATTCAAAGAAGTTAAATGCCTACTCATGGACACAACAGGTGAATTGTATCATGGTGACTTTAACCCAAGTTCATTTGATTCTGTCCAGTAATGAAGCTTATCCTGCTTTTAACAGTGAGCCACAAGCCAAAGAAGTCTTCACTGGGGAAAAAAAATTTCAACTTGTTCTAGAACAGCCTAACCCATATGGTCTGATTTTCAGGTAGAACAAAGCAATAGCCCATATTCTGGAAACATTCAAAAGGAGGGAGTGCATTCTTAGTTATGGCTCATCTGTGCCAGTTCTTAACCTCTCCTTGTAGATCTTCATGATCTTTTGTAGTTCTTCTTACATGAGATAGAACATATTCCCCTTTCGTTCAGACAGCTGTGGAACTGAAATTGGCTTCACTGAATGAATTCTTAGCAACTGTTATGTAAGCAAAGATGAAGTTGTGTGCCTTTGCCTTTTAGAAGTTATTAGCTATTACTTGGGGGTTGTGTTGTTAAATAGCAATAGCTGACTGATACTGTCAGCACTTTTCATTCATCTTCTTGCCTTTAATTCAACTCAAATAGAATCTGTCTCTTGCTGTGATTAATGTTTCTTTACAGGCCCTGAATTGCCTTCTTTTCCTAAATTACAGATCATTGGGGTGTTCAATGTCAGAATCAGTATCATCAGAGAATTATGAAAGTCTTACTAGGAACTGAGGTGGAGGTAAAAATCAGGAAAAGGGAGTAGCAACCAGAAAATAGAACACTGTAAGATGCAGAATGGATGCTAAAGGGGTGATTAAAATCATTTGATCATTCAATAGCTATTTTATGTTACTCAGTTAAAGAAAACACACTGTGGCTAGACATCTCTCACATGTTTCTTTGCATAGTGGCCTGATGCTGGATGTGCTACAAATGCCCAGATGTCCACCTCCCTAGAGGACTGTCAATGAAAACAGACAATGCAGGAGTTGGCACCTGGTAGAAGACATTGAGTGGGTTTGGGATATATTGATGATAAAAGGTTTAGGCTCAGTGTCTGCCATGATTACCATTTCAGCTTTTCTGACTGTACCATCATTTCCAAAGCCCCAGAAAACCCAGTTCTGTTTCTTCCCAAGAAATGTGCAACGAACTTTAGCCTATGAGAATCATATGACTCTTTGGGTGTTTTGGTGCTTCAAATTCCTCAGTTCTTAAGCAACCCCCAATCTACAATAGGAGAAGAATGTCCAGATACCTACCCACTTATAGGAAAGGATTGTTCTCTGGAAACCTTCCTGGAGGAGATGGAAAAATAGTATACCTAACACGTCTGGTAAGCACTGAGTGAAGAAATAAGAGAGCAAGTGACTGACCAGCCCCTGCTCTACCCACCCTACTCTATTTCAACTCAGTTTGGTCAAAGCCATCTGCCTGCCTCCTCCAACCTGCCCTTGCTCCAGACCTATGGTTCAGACACCACAAATCCCCCAATGTGTTCTCTGATCTCATTTCCTCTTTAATCTCTGGCACAGCTCATTTCAGATCTAACTCTTGATGCTGATGGGTTTTCCACTTGGTTCTCAGTCCCTCTCTTAATATCCCTCAATTGGATTGTGTTTATACCCAGCCCTTAGCCCCTGAGCAGGGCTCCAGAAAGGTGGGCTTTGGTTCTCAGCGTTACGCGCACACACACACACACTCTCTCTCTCTCTAATAGCAGCATGCTGGTTGCTGGAGTACCCAATGCTGACACTTACAAATTACTTTACTCTGTGCTAATTCATCTGCCCCTCACAGTGGTGGTCTTGGGAGGCAGAAGGGTAGCATTCCTCTTAACTGTACAAATGAGGACTCAGAGTGAAAAGAAGTGGCCCCCGCTGGTATATAAAGCAGCCAAGACTTAAACCCAATTTTGCTGTTATTTCTTCACATCGTGCTATTTTTAAAAGCACTAGCATTGCTGTGATTCTTGGGCATGCTTTAAAAGATTCAACCATAGAAAAGAAAATTGCTAAAAAAAAAAAAAAAAAAAGGAACTAGTTGGTATGGCTAAAAACTGACTGGAAGAGAAATGACTACCTGTAAGGCTCTTCTTGCATCTTCTAAGGTTCTTCTTGCCCAGACGAGTGGCAGTCACACTGTAGTATGTCAGCACAGACCTTAGGATTCTGCGGTCAACTGGCAAGATCTTCTCTTCCTACAGTAAATTAGTGGGTTCAATGAGCTACAGTAGGACATCCATAAGCCTCATAAGTGTTGGCCTCCAGCCAAGCCTTCCAAAGTAGAGAAAGAAAAATATATATATATATATATATATATATATATATATATATATATATATATATATATAAAGAGAACACTGGTTGACACTGTATTGTGAGCTTACCAATATTAATTTGAACCAATCACTTAAAATATTTATATTCCAAAAAGATGGGGCATTTGAGCTCATAGAGAAATTGGGAAATCCTAAAATCTACATCTTGGCTCAGTGGTAGTCATGGTCTAATCTGACTTCAATTCAAGGTCATTTCTAGCCAACCAGCTTGCATGTAAGACAACAGAGATGTTCTGGGGAAAGGCCATTAACTATATGAAGTTGAGCAAGCTCCATGGCCTGTCCTTGTCTTGTTCTTCCCTCACATATTTACTGAATAGTTACAATGTGCCAGCCATGGGCACTAGAACAATTGACAAGATAAAGTCCTTGATCCCAAGGAACTCATTAGAGGAGATGTATTATTTACAGAACAATAATAAAAAAGGAAAAGAGGGTGACACACTGCACAGTTGCATGAACAGGATCAATTTGGGATAGGACAGTCTTTGAAGCATCTAGGCGCTCACATTACCTGTGTGTGGAAGAACCAGCATAGCTGAAGACCCCCAGAGACACTGGTGCTCAGTGTGTTTAAGAAGCAGTAAGGCCACATGGCTAAAGCAGAGGGAGGACAGATAGAAGACCAGAGGATGAGAAAGACAGGTCAGCACAGCCATGGATAGTCTTTTCAGCTTAGCAACGACTTTGGATAGGAAGATAACTGAGGCAAAAGTATGGTCTGTCTTAGCTTCCAGTGTGACCTTGACTGATGTATAAAAAAATGGCAGCCTTCTCCTTTCTCAGAAGCCAGCTGGTATGGCCTAGAGAAGCAGGCAGCTTCCACTGCCTCTCTCTGTGAGGCAGGATCGGGAGGCTGGTGCTTAACTGAACAAGTCACTGACCATCTTGCTTGAAGCAGAAGCACATCAAGGCCCCAGGAGGCTTCTTCAATCAGCTGCCAAAGTGATTCAGGAGGTCTGAGAAGGGTCCCTCTAGCTCAAGCCTAGCAGGAGCATCCATGGTTCCTGGAGGTGGGAGATTTTGTTGTTGAGACTTGGCATTCAGTAGGTTAAGGCTGAAAGGACCCTAGCTGCTGCTGGCTTCCAAAGATGGACCAGGAAGGCCAGCAGGGTTCAAGAACCTAGCAGAATAAGGATACTCAAGGCTTCCAGACCCTATTTCCTTTTTGTGAGTAATACTGATATTTTTAGAGCTATAAATTATGAGTGTATTTCTACGCTCCTGCAGAATTCAAGCTAGGAGTCTGGGTTTAAAACCAGAAACTTTCAAGGCGGCTTGCTTGCTTCCCCCAATCCTAGAATGAGGCCTCCCTGCTATCGCTTAAGCTGCTTCAAAAATCCTGAGTCATTCCAATAGTCCTGTTTCTCTCTTTCCCTCCAGCAGCTCCCCAAGTGCAGAGCACTCCTGGAGCTGCCCTCCCCACGCTGCGCCCTGCCGCCGCACCCCCCTCCTCCCTCCCTGCGCCCCAAATCCCCCCCCCCCGCCCCCGGCAGCTGTCGCCGCGGACACAAAGTGGGGGTGGTAAAGCCCGGGCAAGCCGGCGGGGAGGGCGCCAGGGACGCGGCGCTGGTCGTGGGCGGAGGGATTGTGTCCCCAGTGCCGCAGTGAGCGGGTGGCAGCGGGACGCGGGCGGCCTCCTGAGTCACTGCTGATGCGGGGCTGCTGGAGCCTCAACCCCCGCCCCTGCGAGCTGCGGCGGCGGAGGCGGCGAAGCGAGGCATCCCTTGGGTCAGGGGTCCCACCGGCTTTCCAAACAGCCTGTGCGCCTTTCCTCGGGAGCCCTCGGGGCGCCGCGCTGTCACTGCCTTGTCACTCTTTGTTTATTTCTACATCTGCCCCCGGAGATTCCCTTAGACCAGAAACTTCTAAGCCACCCCCGGATGGATTCGGGGGCCCTTTCATTTGGCAAGGAGCCCGGAGCGTCATCATAACTTGGGAGACCAGTAAACAGCAGTAGGAGGAAGGAGGGGAGGAGGGGAGGAAGGAGAAGGGGGAGCAGAGGGTGAGAGAAGATCAAAAACCAAACCAAAACAAAAACAACCGGAAGGGAACTGACGATCCTTAAGCTGCAGAAGCGCAGAAGCCCACCCTCGGGTAGTGGAGAAACTAAAGCCCTAGGTAGGAGTGGGGTGTCCCCCCAGGCCTTCTGCTACGGAAATCAGAGCCAAGGTTCTCAGGAGGGAAGAAAGGGACTAGATTTAAAGTCTTTTGCTCATTAAAAAAGGGGGGGCTCAAAATGTCCCCCAAATACCACTTGGTTGTAAAGCAAACGGACAAGTGACCCTCACCTGCTCCTTCACTATCACCTCCGATATCTAGAGACTGGAAGAGTCTCAGAGGGCATCTAGTGCCCATTGTACAGGTTAGGAAACTGAGGTTCTGGGAGGGATGCGGGCAAGAATCACGGGGATGGGGTGCAGTTTCCAATCCATTCCTTTCCCTTAGGTCTTTACTTCATTTCTCCCAGACTAAAATTCTAAAAGAACCCCATCCCCACTTCAGGCCCAGAGTTCGACTTCAGAAAACAAACAAAAAAAAAAAATCCTGAGTGCCGAGCCCCAGCAGCTGCAGCTTCTATCGCCCTCCCTCTCTGCACCCCGGATTGTCACAGCTGCTAGCGCCAGCTTGGCAAGTTTCTGGGGCATCTCTGCGCACCCAGAGGTGTGTCTCCTGCGGCAGGGAGAACATATTTTTGCCATCTCATCCTCACATTCGCAGTCTCCAGTTGGCTTCTTGTGATTGGCCGGAACTTTCCCTCTTAGAGATGAGGAGAATCCAGTCCTCCAACCAGCTGAGGGAAAACAACACTTACCACCTCGCAGCAGCAGCCCGGGGATGCTCCACCCCCTCCAGTGGCCAGGCTGGAGCTCCACAGGCAGAAAGGTCGTCTATTCCAGAAGCTCTCTATCCATTTAAATCGGTGGGGGGGATGGAGGGGGTGGGGGAGGAGCCGGGAGGGGGGGCAACGGGGGCAGTGGGGGAGGGAGGGGGGGCGATGGAGAGCTTCTGACCACTGAAGCTAATTTGCTCTTTTCATTGAGGGTGTCATTGTGTGTCCTTCAGCTTTCAGGAACAAAAGTTCTTCAAAATGGAACTTGAAAAGTTGCCATGGAGCCTGACAGTTCGTGTTCACAGAAGGTGGTTGCTGATATGCTTCAGATTAGGGGCCATTACCCTTGCTGCCTCCCCACCTGAGTCCCCTCCTACACCCTCTAGACCACATGAACCCATGACTTCCTCCACAGTGGGAAACTCTTCTTTCTGACTAACCTACAGCTTTACGAGGCACACCGAAGTTAAGGCATAATTAGTTACCAATAGCCTTAATTTAGCAGTAAGTCTCTGCTCAGGCTCTGTGTTAGAACTGCTTGGTTTAAAAGAACGCTGATGCTCGGGTCACCTCGGAAACCATGAAAATCACCGTTAGGCAAGTGTTGACTCACTTTTCCTCCAGGTGATTGTAACACACAGGAAGCCTGACCATCGCATCATCCGTATGGTAGGCACCGCTGTTGCCTGTCCCCAGCTGTCTGTCTTCTAGTAACAGGGCCTGATGTTCCTCTGGAAACCCCACTCAGCAGAGCACAGTGGGAGACGCTGGCTCCCAACTACCATCTTGTCACCACCTGTAGAAAGTCCCCATGTAAGTCAAGGCAACACAGAAGAGGTAGGTCACCAGTAGAGCAAAAGATACCCACCCCCAAAGGAACAGATGAGTTCCCCTTCATTGAAGCCATGTGAGCCTCTGTGGTGCCAGACATCCCATCAGAGTTAACAGGTCACATAACTGTAAGCTGCCTTGGAATGCAGAAAAATGAGTTCTGGCATAACTGAACACCAAACAAGTAGTATAGGTCCCAAGGTCAGAGATGAAGAAACAAGAAATGTTGCTTTTCTACTTTCAAGTTCATGGCTATCAAAGAAGATGAGGGACCTGGAACACGTGTTCTTCAATGGTCTTTAAGAGCCATATTAGGTTAGTATCAGTTATATGTGAAAAACATTAACATTAAATTAAATGTTAATAATAAATATTAACTCAAGACAAAAACAAGCTCCAGGACTGAATTTTAAAGATGGCCTTAGTTCTGTTCCTGGACTTGGTGACTAATGCCTTGTCTGGGGTGACTAGTCCAAATGTCTCTTCCCCTTTAGCAGCCCATCATGGGCTTGTTCACATGGTAGAGTCAATGTTCCAAGAACAAAAACAAAATTGCATGAAATCTCTTGAGGTCTAGATTCACAGCATTCTCAGTGTCATACCACATCATTCTGTTAGTCAAAACAAGTCACAATTCCACTTCTTGATGGACAGCCTTGCAAAGTCACATGGCAGAGAGCCAACAAGAACTCACAGATAAATTAAATCTCCTTCCCTCGTTAACAGAAAAGGAACCAAAGCCAATGAACTTACCCATCCTCCTCTGATTATATAGGGCTATTTTGACCAGACTGGTACTCTGTCCACACTATGGTCTGTCTTCTGTCCTCACCCTCTGCCCCTTTAAAAAGGTATTTCCCATAAGACACAGATCATAGTGATTCTCATAAACCCTGTGCCGCAGTTAAGGCAGACATTGTCTAAACTTACTACAGAGGACGATTGGATAGTATTGTTCTCACAATTACTCAACAAATTTAGAAAACAGTACAATGTGGGTTCTGTTTACACAGAGCAAAGGATTTAGCATTTTGATGGTGTGGCTTGGACTATAACCAATCAGGACCATCTGATTCCTCCTCGTGGATTCAGTTTTCATCTCCTTGTGCTACGGCCTAGAGATAATGTTTAGTATATCAGACAGTTGTCTATTCGTGTGGTGAGTGTGACCCCCCTATCTGAAGGTTCTCAGCCTCCCCCTACCCTACTTTCTACCCCCTGCTTCTGACCCTGCTCTCTTCGATTCTTCAGTTGTGTCCTTTCTCCTGTCTTTGTTGGATGAGGACCTATGCAATTGTCGTAGTAGAATCTAAATAACAGGTGGAGAAAATGTAGAATGGGAAATGAGAGAATGATAAGACAAAGACAGGAAATCCATGTATATACGAGTCTACAGGAAAAAACCTGATGAGCAAAAAGAAAGGGCTGCAGAGGATGAGAAAATCTGCAAATTCTGAGAACTGGGAGAGGAAGGGATTTTCATAAAGGCTGTGATGAGTTATGAGACTGATTCTCATTTTTTCTCCAGATTCACAAGTGAAATCATATCTACCATGTTTATTGCTTTCCATTACTTACTTTGCTGGGGTCTTTTGAACTAACATTTTAGCAGGCCATACTCAAAAAGAGAAGATTTCCATCTTTTGCAGTAAATAATTTTATTTACTGGAATTTTATTTGAAAGGTGAAAGTGGAAATGACTTTTAAAAGGACTACCATGCTGAACAGCCTAAGGGGTTAGGGACTTTTCACATTATAAACTTGGAAAACAGAAATATTGAAGGGTTGGAAATGAAAACGTGGGAGGCTATGTGATGCTAAAAGTAGTGAGTGGAAAATTTAAAATAAATTAATCTCTGTTCTTAGTAAAAAAACATTAGAGAGAGATGCCTACTGAGAATGTTGCAGATGTTTTCTGGACCACACACTGGGAATCCCTTGTACTGTGTCTGTGAAAGAAGTTGCCGTCAAGATGTACATTTGTCTTCAGAGTATCCACAGCTACACTCTTAATTCTTCCCAGCCAATCATTGGTCCACAAAAGAATTCCAGCATATTTGAGTTGCATCAGTGAACAATAAGCTGGAGTGGAAAATCTGAAGACCAGGTTGAGCATAGTGTTTGATTTTTCAGCCTCATATAACATTTCTAATTGTCTCACAACTCCCCATTTTTGCAGTGTCATCCATTAACTAGAGCAATGCCCTATTATTTATTTGAGCATTCAAAGAACAGCATGGTTGACCGTCACATCTTTGCATCCTTTTAAAGACTAGGCCCTTGAAATTTTTTATCCCATTGTTATTGCTTTATATTTGTATCAGATCCCCTTCTGAGTCTCATTCTATTTTAATGTTTTTCACTTATGTATAAGCCCCAATTATTATTATGAATGTATCAACCAAAGAAAGAACTGTTCTCCACTCAGTTCCTGTTAGCTGGCTGACAATTTTGTAGTTGCTATTTCTTTTTTTTTTTAAACAACTTATTTATTGTTATTTTATGTACATTGGTATTTTGGCTGCATGTATGTCTGTGTGAGGGTGTCAGATCTTGGAGTGACAGACAGTTGTGAGCTGCCATGTGGGTGCTGGGGATTGAACCTGGGTCCTCTGGAAGAGCAGTCAGTTCTCTTAACCACTCAGCCATCTCTCCAGCACCCTGTAGTTGCTATTTCT